CTTATTATGGGAAGTGTAATACTGCCCTATTTGTTGATGTCAACTGTAACAACAGTGACGTACAGAGACCATAGCGACCCAAAGGGGGATCGAGGGAGGCGTGGGTGTTCCTCTACAGCCCCTTCGCCTTACCAACCAACTCTATTTTACCAACTTATTCGCCAACAGGTCACAGTTTTTCCTGCATAATCTCCATTTTACCGACAAGCTTTCTAAGAAGTGGGTGGGGGGTGGGGGGGGGGTCACACTCCAACATACCCCGCTCGGCAACCCTTGCATTTATTGTATTGATAAATCCCGTGCATGTTGCCCAATTGTATTGATAAATTCAGACGTGCATGTTGTCCAATCCAAATATTTTTTTTGAAAATCTCTATTTTAAATTGCCAGGACTCTCTGTACAGTGTGCATATATAACCTATTCTTTGAAATTTAAATCAAGCATAACTCCATATTCTATTGAATTCATCTGACAAGCTACAGTACAGTGTGTATCAAAATAATTCGAATCCAAATTTGGCGTGTAATAACGCAGAATATATTTGACAAATTCGGTTGGTTTTTACACCATTGTTAAGTTCATTTATTTACCTTTCAAATGACATGCTGTACGCGTCATATAGTTGGAAAATGAAGGAGTATTGCTTTGACAAAAAATGTCCATAAAAATCACAATTTTCCGCCGATGGGAATTGGACATTTTTTCTTTCAAAGTTAGTCCCACAAGGCTTTGAAATGCTAATCAATGTAATCATCACTGAAAACTTATGCAAATTTAACGCGAATTTCTTCTCGTTCAACATGTTGAAGGCATAGGAGCTTAAATCTCTTTAAATGAACACGAATTTATGTAAATTCTGCTACATATCAGTTTGTTGATTAATTAAATTTGCATTATCTTTTGTTTGTACGTCTCACTTCGAATTCCCATCGGCGGAAAAATTTGATTTCGAGCAACCAGTTTTAACACACGATTTCTTGGTCATTTTTGATCTTATTGATATAAGAACGATATAATCGGAAACCTAATAGGCTATTCTTTATTGCCAAATAAAAATTATATGGTTTACTTTAGTATTTTATAAACAGCAGTCGAATTATTTTGGATTCGAATTATTTTGATACACACTGTATAACTGCTTCGAACAATTTAGTGTGGCGCACAACAAAAGACTTTCTACTTATGCGACATGTATGAACAACTCAATGAAATACCCTGTACAGCACAATGATAATTATAAGTGATTTGATTGTTCTCAACTGTTTTGAGTTAATTAAGCGCGACGAAAACAATGTCATGTCTCATTTACAAAAAGAGATAATTATAACTTCATTTTAATGCTGTTTAATTTGAATTTGAAAGGCTATACTTTTTTTATACGAACTGTACAGCTATATGCGTCACATCAAAGAAGAATGGCGGCGTGGGAGAGGGAATTAAAATGTATACAATCTGAGATAAACAAATTAAACGAGATACTTTGTCTGCATGGTAATTGACAATCGGGCAAACATCAGACTCAGGCTAGATTGGTTGAGGTACGCAAATTTCGATTTACGGCTATACGGCTCCAGGGAGGGTTATTTCAAAAGGAAAATAGCACCCATGGTTTTATAATACTATTAGCAAAAATATTTTTAGGTCTTTTAGAGCCTTTGGACTTTTCTGACTTTTATATGAGACAGTTTATAGAGTGATTTGGCCCTCGGAAAACTCCGGCCGTTGCGCATTTTAATTTGCCAGTGCAATGTTTTGTTTCGTGAGCGTGGATCTTCGTCAGTGCATTGCATAAAAATATACTACATATTTTTCCATATAAAGGTTTTTCAATAGATCTTGGTCCTGGAAATACGTGATTATATGCATGCTTTTAGCAAAGCTAGCTATATTTGGCATAGAAGGATTTGAAAGTAAGTATCGTCACAGTGGTAAATTAAGAACTCTAGTACAAGTTAAGAATAATTTTGTATTTGAAGAATACCTTCATGAAATATGCAATGTTAAGCATCGCCAAGCAATAACAAAAATGAGAATATCTGCGCACAAACTACCGGTTGAATCTGGAAGATATACCAACCATACGAAGATCGGTTTTGTACCTTATGTCAATCGAGTAAATTGGAGATGAATTTCACTACTTATTATCATGCTCCAACCAAAAAATTTCAGAAACTCGAAATATTTTTTTAAACGAGTTATATGGTATCAATAGTTCTTTCCGCCTATTTGCTACAAATAATTTATTCTTATATATTTTTAATATACATAATAAATCTATCATGAAAATAGTAGCAAAATATTTTCATGATATTCTTCTATTATATGATAATCAGTGCATTATGTAATCATGCATATCTTCATTCATGATATAAAAAATGTTAATGCACTTTTTATAATCTTATATCTTATAACAACTATCACATATAGATACGCTTTGCATCTTTTATTGTATGTAATTTCATATGTGCCTGTATTGGTATTTTGATGAATAAAGATTATTATTGTATCGAGTTGAAGTTATCAATTTTTCATCTCACTAGCTACAAATTTGGAACAAAATTGTCAGTGTTAAAATCCGCGCAGTGATCAAAGACTAAGAGAATTCGCGTAGCGCTGGCCGTTAGGTGCGGAAATTTTAGTACTGCGCGAAATATAATCCACACGAAAAGCTTTGTGGTAGATATACTAAAGATAAAGCGTGCGTTCATAATACCAACAAGAACTAGAACCATTATTGTATGGTTCTCATTTGCTAGACTTGCCACAAGTCCACCTCGAAGAAACGCATTTCGTTCGAGGACGACTTGTGGGCTGTGACAAGTCTACTCATTTGCCTAATACAATAACATTTAGTTCAACGCGAATTTTAATACAAGTATGGTATCATATTTCATAATATAACAAACGATGTAAACTAGCCATACATTTTGCCGAACATAACTTCGGCCCCTTTGGACGTTTCTTTTTCGTAATAATATTATTGGAACCAGAATCGAAAACACTATTTATACTGTTATTTTCAAGCTTGTGTCTTGGGATTTTCATCTTTTATTTCGGTATTTACAGAATATTTATATTTTTAGCGCGGCGATCAAAACAACGCGCTGATTAGGATAACCCGGAAATCGATTCTGTAGGTCGGCATGATTTGCACGTGCATCAATCGAGCTATAAACGTGCGTGCGAGTAAAAACACGATATTTTGAAAAATTCAAAATAAATATTCCTACTCTGTGCCGTATTCAAACGAAACTTTGTACAAGCGCTTGAAGACAAGATGTATTTTACTCACATTGACTCTGAGCAAATTCTGAAGAGTCACTAAAGAATACTAAAGCAGGGTGCATTGCCTGTTAATGGGTTAATAATTTTAGATGTGTTTGTTAACCATTTACTGACAATACTCTGCCACTAACAAGTAAAATCGTCTGGCGTTACAGTGTAAATTGGTCTGGCGTTAGCCAGAGTTAATACTGGTAGAGTTAGTTAGTTAATACTGGTAGAGCCAGAGTTAGTACACGTGGTGTACCACAGGGAAGTAACTTAGGACCATTACTCTTCCTTGTGTATATTAACGACCTTCCTAATTGTCTCAGTGCAGCAGTACCGAGAATGTTTGCTGATGATACGAATATTAGTTATGCGGCCAACACTATCGCCGAACTAGAAAATGTTATTAATTCGGAATTAAAAAAATTGAAAAGCTGGTTGGAAGCGAACAAATTAAGCCTTAAT